TTAATGACAGAGGAACAAACAGATTTATGACATGTGTTTTTGCGGACTTGAGGATGGTGTTGAGGCATCTCTCGAGGCGGCGGGAACACATTTAGAGCTGGGGAACCGTGGACTTCCAGCTCTGTCACGGAGGGGAGAAGGAGGGGCTGTCACGCCGCTCGCTTCTTCTTCCTCGCCTGCTGGCCGAAATTCTGGGTTGGCTGCGCCTGAGCTGCAGCCGGAACCGGAGATTTTCTGGGCCAGCTCGCCCTCGTCTCCAGCCTGGGCTGGGGACTCGGGGCGGGCTGCGACCTCTGCGTTTTCGGTGTTTTAAACCGAGCAGGGTTCAAGGCAGCTTGGGCGAAGGACTGTTGCTGCGAAGGCAGCGGCTGGACCCTTCGAGGGAGGCAGAGGTGGAGTGCCTCGTCCTCCCTCTTTTTCGACTCACACCTCCTTTGCATGGAAGCAAGAGCGGAGCCGAAAATTCCCTCGGGAACGATGGGCATATCCAGCACATCCTCCTTTTCCCGGTCTGGGAGGTTGGTGAGGTTGAGCCATCTCGCTCTTTCCTGCACCACCATGATCCCCATTGCCTTACCCGTGGCCTGGACGGCGCAGCGTTGGACACGGAGACAGATGTCTGTGACCGCCGCCATCTCGTCCAGAGTGGCTGCACCCGGGTTACCCGACAGGTCCTCGCAGAGCTCCGCTTGGTAAGCGGTTAGCAGCGAGGCCACATTCAGGGCCCTGGCGGACAACGCTGCGGTTTTGTAGGACCGCTCAGTCATTGTCGACTGAAATCGGTCCGACTTTGCCGGCAGCGTGGGGTTCCTGCTTGGTGACGGGCCCATCCTCGGTAGGAGGTGGGCTGCTACCAGCGGTTCCATGGGCGGTATGCGGAGCAGGCCGAGCTTCTCCATTCCGTCACAGTCTAGGGAGGAGGCACCCTGGATTGGGACCTTGTTGCTGAAGGGCCGGTCTCTCCACGAGACCGACACCTCATCCAACATCTCCGGGAAGACCGGAAGGAGCTGTCTCTTTGTCCGCGCTGCTTGGGGAAAATGTTTCCCTTCGTAGCGGGACCTGGAGGTCTCCTTGGCCATTTCAGGCCACGGGATGTCGAGTCTGGCCGCAGCGCGTTTGCACACGGCCTGCAGGTCCATACTCAGACAGGGCGAAGCTGGTATGCTATCGTATGGGAGAGCAGCCCTCGCTCCAGGCTTTGCAGCCTGAGCCGATGACATGAAGATGTCCTCTTCATGTTCATCCGACTCGGACAGGAGGAACACCGAGGCGTCCTCTTCGTCCTCGTCGTAATTCAGCTCGAGGACATCCTCCGCGGGTGAGACCATGGTGAGGTCTAACTGGGAGCCCCAGCTCGGTAAAGCGTGGGGTCCCGTTCCCGCGTGTCTTGCCGCCACCGGGTCCCGGCCTGCCAGGGCGCGGGAATCCGGTTCTGCGGCCATCGCAGATACTGAGCCCCAGACCGACATGGAGAGGGGTTCACTCTCTGTGGCAGATGCCCCCGCGTCTTGACTGCCGGCCGGCAGGTCAGAGGACATGGGGGGTTCCTGCTCCGACAGGCTAGCTTGGCGTGCTAGCCGTCGGCGGAGGCTCTTTACGGTGAAGCGGACACAATGTCCGCATGAGCCGGGGTTGTCGATAGCGCCTCGGGTGTGTTCCAGCCCGAGGCAGGACGAGCAGACCTGGTGTGTGTCTGTGCCCGAGATCTTCAACCCGCAGCCGCAGAGTCGAGCCACCGAGTCCCTGACTCCTCTGGTGTGAGGGAGAGGGGCGTCCATCTTGTTCGCCTCGTGGCGTGGAGAGGACCCGCTCTCAACAGGTAGGTTGGGAGAAAAGAGGTTACCACCCTGTCCTTAATCCGGAGAAAAGGACGGTGTGGGTCTTTTATTCCCGGAGAATACTGACTGGTGTGGCAGTATGCTCCTTTTAATCCTTTCCTCCTCCGTGGGGAAGAGAAAAGAAAAGACTTCCTCGCTACCGTGGTGTCGGTAGTGAGGGAGCAAGCTAACGCTAGCTTGAAAAAGTCAGACCTAGCTTACTTTCCGGGGAAAGAGAGCGGCGAGGTCGATTTCAACAATAACTAGCGTTAGTAATTACCGTCTTCCTGCGAAGCAGAAGGAGTAGCCGGCAAGCGCCCGTCGACCGAAATGGATATTTGGGTTCAGTCTGTGGACCGTGAAGCTTGTCCGGCTACCATAGAGATGTGCTCTGAAGCGAGAAGAGGTGTTTGAATGGCGCATGCGTTGTGGCGCAAGCTACTTATAGGGGGTGATTTCCCTGACGCTGACGTCAAGATCTCCAGCCAATCAGGATTGGCGTAATGAGATTGATGCTTCTGTTTGCTCCGCGATGAGGCGCATCCCATAGTGAGACATCGAACGGAGTGTTATGAATGAGAACTCCAAAACAAAACACTGCAGAACATACATTTCCTCTGCCGTGTCTCCATTGTTCTCAGTATGGATCTCTATCTTCTTCTTTCTGTCAGCTACAGTTCATGCTATGTCTCAAGTGGTCGTTCGTTATAAAATCAATACACTACTATCCCATTATTTAACTGCAACCATACACATTTACTTCACATATCTTTTTCTTTAAAGGATACAAGGACAGATGGTATACTTCAACCTCCTCTCTCTATTTGCAATAAAGTAAAACAAATAAAAATCAGAATATCTCAAATTATTGTGAAATGTGTAACTCGTATAACACCCACAAGTGGCAAACATTTTTAATCAAAGCTGTTTTCACAATTAGTAAGTGGGCATTATATAAAGATGCATCAATGAGTTTGCCAACACCTAATCATTTACAGTATTTTTAAAAACTATTTATCTTATAAGATTATAAGATGCCCTAATGATGCTGGTTCAGGCTTGCCAAATATGAGGCTGCCTTTCTGTTTCGTTTTCTGTCATACATTGAGTGAGTTTTGGACTTTTTGCAAAAGAGAACAAGCGGATTAAGGATGTCACATTTGGCATTGGATTAAAGTGATGGGTATTTGTCACAATTCTTTGACAATTTGTTGCCTAAATTACATTTGGATAAATGGCAAAAATAATCAACAGATGAGTTGGTGTTGGCGCTGCTTGATGAATGGAAAGTAGACACATATGTCAAACACATTTGTTTTTAAAACATCAGACACCACATATGCCAATAGCAGGTGCTGCAGAGCATCGTTCCTTGAAGTTGACACAGTGTGAAGCAACACTTTCATAAACACAGGACATCAGTGGGTGTTTTGACGTGTGAACGCATGAAAATCCAGGGAAATACCAGAGCGCACATCAATCTAACAACGTAGCATTCCTTGTTGTTTTTTTGCTGAGGCTGGTCACCACATAACAAATAGGATGTATATCAGGCACTGCTAAACAATAAAAAGCTGGATAACATAATGAAATATATTAAAACTGAAAAACAGACCGAGCAAATGACCTAAGCTGACTGTGACTATAGCTTCCTTTCATTCTCTAAACACACAAACACATTTTTATGAAACAATATATTTTCAATTCAATCACACCTAACACTTGGTCCCTGCTCTAGCTGGAGGTTGTATCCTCACTGAGTAAAAATTACTTTTGGCACTATTGGCCTCAGCCCTTATATTTCCTGACCTCCACTGTCTGGCCATGTTTGTGTGTTTGTGCGTGTATGTGTGAGTGTGTGTGTGTGTGTGTGTGTGTGTGTGAGTGTGTGTGTGTGTGTGTGTGTGTGTGTGTGTGAAAGTGACCCAGCCGTCAGTTCTCTCCCTGCCAAAGGGGTTTTAGCACCTGAGAGTTGTCCACTCCAGGTGCTGCTCTTGACTGACAGAATAATTTAGAGGTGTTGAAAATACACACACATGGGACACACAGGTTACAAAGGCAGTCATGACTTGAGCATTTTTTTATGCTGACACAGATGATGTAATTTTTTTTCTCATGATGTAACGGTTTTAGATTGAAAATACTTATTTTCTGTTGTTGCAGGTAAAACCTCCAACAATAACTCAATGCCTAATCATTAGTGCGCAGGAGTCCTTGTCCGTTTTCTTTCATTAAAAGTAGCTTGCTGCATTTTGCTTTGAAAAGTGGGACCTTTACAGCATGCACATTACATTTCTGCTGGGTACCAGAACACTTGAACAGGGACCATGCATACAAACACATTCATCTCAGAAAAGAGAAGAGATGATTTATGCGAGATTTTAGCTAATAGATCATTTCTATCTGCAGTCATAACTTGTATGCTGGTATAGTTGTTATCTTGTGAGTCTGTGTGTGTGTGTGTGTGTGTGTGTGTGTGTGTGTGTGTGTGTGTGTGTGTGTGTGTGTGTGTGTGTGTGTGTGTGTGTGTGTGTGTGTGTGTGTGTCATCAGGGCAAAAATGGCTCCTGAAGACAATCACTGCAGCAGGAATTCCTAATGAAGAGGTTTCGAGTACATTGCCAGGTGTTTATATTTCTGTATGTCTGGACAGATTTTGTCACCGCCCGAGCATCACAACCATGCAAGATGCAGTCACTTTAGGTGGAGTTGAGACCCTACTCTACGCCCATAGCCCTATAGTATTTGGTGTACTTTACAGGGGTATAATTGAGATCAAAATGAAGGCCAAGGCTGAAGATGGGTGTGGTCCGAGCAAGTGTTCTGAAAGTTGGGTTGGGTAGGAAATGGGGAAAAGGCCATCAGAGTATAAACTCCAAGTTGAGCCATTTAAAATGAAGAATTACAGTTGATTTTTATATCTAAAGTCAATACGAAGCATCTGAAGGGACTGCACTGACACACAGAATCCTTTCCGTATTAGTTAACGATTGAGTTACCACCATAGTTCACTAACACTAGTCGAAGCCACTTGGAGAAGTCCAAAGTGATTCGTATGACTCGAGATTTCTTTCAATGGTCTGGAAATCCACCACTTGAGTAACATAAAGAAGCCTTTTCACTCATCATTCTGACACTGAGCGGCCTAGAGTACTAAACACTGATTGGAAATAAGACCTACCTGTGACGTGTAGCCTGTCCATGCTGACCTCGATCTTGAGGAAGAGGCGACCCCGGCGCTCCGTGTGGTCCGTCCCACACAGGCTCGGCACATTGACCACACACTGATTGTGTACGTTCATGTCGCAGGCTGGAAAGAGACAGAATGTGCAGGAGTTTATAAGTGGATCACTTTTTGGATCTCATACCAGTGTAATATGCCTCCTTTCTTATTCCATGCATGCATTTGAGAGTGAATCACTCATATAAAGAGAGGACAGGTTAGGAAATCTAAGACATCACATTACACTTTTCTTGGGAAAAGCTGTTCTGAAGAAACTGGTAAAACAGAGTTGAGGTGGTTTGATGTGCTGGGCAAAATAAACCTGAATAAAGCTTAACATTCTGCAGAGATCTCAATGACAGCAGACAGAGTCAGCTCTCATTGTGAAGGGAGCTCTGCCTTGAAAGATATTAAATACAAAATGAATACAATTTTATATTTTATAACACCAAAACAAGAGGACAGGGTTTGCACTCAGTAAACATTAACCTTCAATGAACTGAATGTGCCCTGTGCTTTCATCTGTGTAAATATGACCTCTTATTCATCAAACTACTTTATAATTTCACTTAAAACAGCCGGTTCAGGATTAAAGAGGTTCTTCACTATGAATCAAGGTTTTAGGATACATTTATCAAGCCAATGACTACAAAGGAAAATTAAAGGTAAACTCTCAGACGGTCATATGATTGGTCACGTGCAATCAGAGCAGAAATACATATCAGAAGTAAAGATTCATTAATATTTCCCACATTTTGTTAGTGATATGTTATTCTGTACTTTGTTTGTGGAATCTTGAAATCTCCGCAAGCAATTCAAATGTAATATTGAATATTTGTACAATATGGAAACAAAAAGAAAACCAAACTGGAGCAGTGAGGAACTTATGCAGCTGAAGTGGAGGTGAGACGTGAGAGAAACATAATAAGAGGGATTTAGAGCAGACAATGGTGATATGTGGAAAGGGATTGCAGACAAAATCAATTTCTGCTTTATTCTTGTGTTTTCAACCTTGAGGAATACAGAAACAAAGGAAATGAAAGCAGCTGCAAAACATAACATGGTTCACTGTGAGTCAGTGTTTCTGAAAAATTCCTCAGGTGTGTGCTCAACTTTCTGTACAGCAGCGAAGACCTTCTCTTTTCAACTTAGAGGTTCAGGAGTAAAACAATTATCTTCAAAATCTTACGTTTAGTAGTTTGATGTCCCTGAATCTTTGTACCATTGATAGAGAGTTCCCCTGGTTTTGAATCTTTTCTGAGCTTGCCATTACCATAAAGTCGATGTGTATCCGGCCTCGACTGCAACGTTTTTAAATGTATAAACTTCTGAGTAACTCTCCCCTATTGGTTACCTTTGGGACCAATTTGTATAAAAGTCTGGAGACCCAATGTGGCAACATATTTGTTTAAGGGATGATTATGTGTAGAAATGTATATTTTGAATGAGAAAGCAGTACTTTAAGGAGCCACTGCTTTTGTAGTATAGCACTAAAACATCAATAACTAATCACCACATGAACTTAGGAATGATATTGCACTGTGAGCTGATTTGATTGTGTCAGAAGAGGTTGGATATTGTAGGAAACCTCCTATTTTCCCCCTAAAACCTCTAACTCTGTCCTTCTTCCTCCCTCTTCCTGCCTTTTGCCAGCCAACCACCTATATTTCCTTCTCTCTCCCTCTTCTTCCCTCCCCACCCCTCGACATGCCGACAGGAGACCAGACGAGACAAGAGAAGGTCATGATGGCGATGGCTTCCCTGCATCAATTTGCTCTGGCGTGCTTCTATTACCATCTGCGAGGAAGACAGATGAATGGATGGAGTAAGAGGAGCAGAGAGGGAGGGAGGGTGATGGATGGAGGATAAAGGAAGGTACAGAGAAGTAGTATGTAGAAGCAAAAGAGGGCAAAGGATTATCAGAGTAAGAATTGGGAAGAGCAAAGAGGGAAGAAAGAGAAGAAGTAGGATGACAGAATAATTCAATAGAGTGCAGGATGGGGGGGTCATACAGGCAGGGAAAGAAGGGGACAGTTGATAGAAGAGAGTGGGTGGAAAGAATGGGAGCGAGAAAGGCCTCTGCAGGATGGAACTGTATATCCTGCCTGGGCTGCAGATGTGGCTGAGAGTACAGTATAGGTCTATTCCCATCTGTTCTCATTAGGGAGACCAGCACAGCATATTCGACACACACACACACACACACACACACACACACACACACACACACACACACACACACACACACACACACACACACACACACACACACACACACACACACACACACCACACACACACACACACACACCACACACACACACACACACACACACACACACACACACACACACACCACACACAACACACACACACACACACACACACACACACACACACACACACACACACACACACACACACACACACACACACACACACACACACACACACACACACACACACACACACACACGGAGGAAATTACCATATGTTTTGTATTTCTAGATAGAGTGTGTACTCACTGTCACATTTCATCCCTTGGTGGATGAGCCCGTATAGCAGCGAGCCACAGTGGTCACAGAATGTGGGACTGCCGTATGTGTGAATCTTGAATTTGTGCTTGCTTCTGGGGTCCTGGAGAGAGAGAGAGAGAGAGAGAGAGAGAGAGAGAGAGAGAGAGAGAGAGAGAGAGAGAGAGATGAGAGAGAGGAGAGAGAGAGATGGGAAAAATACAAGCTGTTAGGAATATCTTGAGCTGGCAAAACATTTGAGGAATCACCAAAACTTATGACAATACATTGTGCATCGATGAGTGTACTTAATATCATGCCAATTCATCCAATACTTGTTGACAAAACGCCCAACATTGCCATATAGAATCATTCAACTAGCTAAACTAGGATTACCATGGTAGGTGAAATCAAGGAATAATCCAGTGCTCTGAAATAGGATTAATAGTGTTTGTGTACATCTGTGTTCTCCGCGGCAATTGTAGAAAGAAACTTTCCAAAGTGTATCAAGTGTTTATTTTTCTCAAATAGACAATATGTTCAAAAGTAAGGGTTTTGCTCCAATGTGTTTCTTCTTCCAGACAAATGTTAAATTCCTTTTTCTTTTTATGGCCACAAAGACCTCTGGATAAACATTAAATTCAGACAAAATAGTTTTAGGTTTATTGGAACAACTTAAGGCGGGCTCAGCGATAACATTATATAAAGGAGGAGAAAATGGGAATATAAATGGACCTCTTTTAAAACATCTGTTCATCATTCTACTGCTTATCTCTCCCTCAGAGATTAATGATGCAATACTGTTTGCCTCATTAACTCACTAAACAGCTCTCACTTTCATTTCTATCTACCATAGTTGATTCTTAAATAAATTAAAGGAACAAGCGGGATAACATTTTACTGGAATTGTTCCTTGTATGATAACTCGTGACAGCATTTTAAAGAGACTGATTAATTGATGATGCATTTTGTTCATGATATCATTCGTGTAGGAGACTGACGCAAAGAGGACCAGAAAGAAAGACATTTCCAGATGGAAAGTCGATGTCAGCCCATTATCGGCGCGTGGGAACGTGTAAGGTGTTTTTGTGTTGGTGTTAGTTCTCTCCATCTTGTCATCCTGGAAGCCTTCCCAGCATCCTCCTTGTTTCAGTTTTGACTGTTATTAAGACACCAATGCTCGTGCAGTGCCAGCAGCAGCATAACTGAGCAACTGTTTATCTTGGCCTGAACATCTGGCACCGAGGCAAAGTAAAAATCGAGCTGATGAGCAACAATTGATGCTCTGATCGGTTTCCAAAAACTGGATTTGATTATTTAAAAAAAAATGAACACATACCGTATTCATGTCATTTCATTTAAGGGTCATTTGTTGGGAATTTATTTTCTCCAGTCACTATTGTGAATGCTGAGGTTAGCTAATTTCTACAATAACCACAAAACAAACACAGCTGTAATTAAAGCCCTGCAAATGAGGCTGGATAAACCTCCACCATGCAGCGCTGCCTCTATCATGATGCAATGTGTCAGAATGTCTTCATGTGTAATTATACAGACCACTGACTGGGTAAGTGGGCGCACGACAACGCTGAGAAATGCCCTTTACTTCCAAGCTTACATGACGACAGCAGCAGAGTGAGAAAGAGGTGGCGACAGAGATACGTAGAGGGGAAGTCTGTGTTTAAAAGAGGAGGGGGTTGTTTGGTGGTAATGGAGTGACTGACAGAGAGTGTTGCAACGGTCCAGGAAAAGTCTAATTGGCATGTTCTCATTTTAGCAAGCTCGTCTATTTTTGCTCCTTTCCTGGAGGCTTTTCTTGAGAATAAAGAAACAGATGGCGTAGTGGTCGTGTCCTGAGTCCCTCTCCCGGGTCTCCCTCCTTCTGCTTACCATTTTCGCCTGTATTCTTATGATTTTTGAACTGTGGGGACATTAAAGTCTTAAAAAACACTTCACCAAGGATCCAGATAATCTCCCTGATCTCTATTTATTTGTGTTTATCTTCACTTCCTTCCCCTTCAAGGTGCTAGACAGTGAGCACTGTATGTTTTTTCATTTTCAATGCCAACTCTTCTTCCTCTCACAGTATTTCCATTTAATGTTTTCTTTCTGTCACCATGTGTTATTGTCTCTTTTTCTTTGCGCCCCTGCTTCTCGGAGCCATGGGTGAAATGAAAATGGCAGGGTTTCCACTCACAGTCATCCTGAGCCTGTTGACTCAGTGCAGCCCATTATAGGGAGAGGTTGAGTGTGAAGACATAATCTGATCTGCACTCTGAAGTTCTGCGTGTGTCTCTGCAGCTGTAAAGTTGAACTAAAATGGCTTCTCTCTCTTGCAACATTATCTGCAATAAAACTGTCTATGTTTGTAAGACCCACACTATAATAAAGTAGATGTACTGAGGAATTGTGACAAGCTCAGCACTACACACATAAATAACAAGGCACATCCATAACTCACAATGTAGGTTACGAACCATAATATCTCAGTATAGCACCCAGCTAACACCATAAGTCCACTTTAGCACATAAACATTTTAGGCGCTGCCAAAGGAAGAAGATACGAACATAAGTTTGCTCAGTGCTGGCAGCACTTTAAAGGGTTTCAAGAGACTCAATATAAAGGAGCTGTTTCTTTGTTTGATTACGTGTCAAACAGAATACCAATATTATGCATAATATTTAAATGTTCAAGCACTTGAAGAGGCAGCTCTCTTGGCAGCTTTCATCATGGCCCACGCTGCCACACTAAAATCAACCGTTTGGTCAAGTGAATACAAACTTGTACTTTGATTTATTCCAGCAGAGAAGAAATCTGAAGATTAGATTGACACTATGCAACATGATGCTTGGTCTCCATAGCACAATGACTGAGCCCTGTCTATTTACACGGAGGCTTTGGCTGAAACATATTGAAGGACACTAGTCTCTGTCTCAAGATGCACATGAAAACATGGTCACAAAAACACAACAGAACTTCTCCTCTTCGTTTTCTTATGCAGTCTGAAGAGTAATGGAAGCGTCTGTTACAAGAAGCATGAATACATGACTCACAAATCATCAATAGACAGTCAGTCATAAAATCTCCAAAACAAGTTAGTCATGCAGCTGAAGCACTGCCAAATAGCATGCATTGCAAAACACAACACATCGACATAAAAGCGGAGGGTGGCACATCTAAAACGGACTTGCTAAGTCATCATTTCAGCTTGTCTCTTTTCAAACATCCTCCCGGGCACTTCAATACTGGACATCAAGCTGTGCTGGGTAAAGATGCTGGCAGACACTAACAGACAGAGCTGATGAGGCGAAACCAGGAGGGAAGTTGGTTCCAGTGAGGCGAGATGATGCTGCTGCCAAATTCCTCGAAGCGTAACGAGGGTCACATCAAGCAGAAGTAGAGGAAACGATTGGTAATGAGGGCAGAGTGACAATGAGTCAAATGCGGGTCTTGCTTATTAAAGTCAGGCATTGAGCATCAGAGGTAATAATATCTAATTACTCGTTGGATATTATAGCTATAAAAAGTGATGGGGAGAGTGAGGAGGCCGATGTGACTCATTTATTAGGTTAATTGGTTGACAAGCGACCCTTCAGAGACGCCTTCACATCTGCCTCCTTCTAATTGGTGGCTACTAGGGCATAGTGTAATTTACCCGTATGATGCTAAAGCTTAAGCATTTTTCAGGCTGTGATCTCCATCCTTGTTTGATTTGATATGATTATGTTGAGAGACTTTGTTGTCAAGCATCCTACTCAAGTGTCTCTGAGTGTCCCACTTCATTACTACAGGAAAAGGGAAATGAAAGGAGAATATGCCTTCAGTAAAACGTCATTTTACCACCAATAGTGAATCACAAACCTCCCCAACTCAACACTAAGTTATGTTTGCATTAGCATTTCTCTCCAAGGTTCATCCTGTGTATATTAGAGAATGTTTTTAAAGTCTCTACTTCCTCATGAAACATTAGCAATTTTTTCAATATTTTATAATGTCCATTACTTCTCAGAGCACACAGTTATCCAGCCGTCTAACCTTATTTGTTTTTTTGTTTGTCAGTTGTACTTTATAAGGATTTGCCGAAGCTGGAACCAACACTTATTTTTTTGTATTTTTGCTTGAAAACGAGTTAAACGATTAATAGTTTGGCAAAATGGCAGATTATTATCGAAATCTAGATTTAAACAACCCAAATCCAACCAACAGATTTAAAGAGCTGATTTGATTTAGTGATTTAATGCAATAATGCTCCATCAAGGATTTCTATTTTTTGTTTTACCAAAGAGTATAATTGCAAAATTACCCACCAGACATCATTTTGATTTATCAACTAAAAGAGAATCACCAAAACGACTATGAATTCAAAAGACCTCAATCATACTAGGTGGTTGTGTGTGTGTGTGTGTGTGTGTGTGTGTGTGTGTGTGTGTGTGTGTGTGTGTGTGTGTGTGTGTGTGTGTGTGAGATGAGGTGCTTGGGGTAAACAAAGTGATCAACTGTACAGTTGCTATGGTGATAATGGGTTAGAGAACATCCAGTGATGATTGAAAGTCAGCAGAGGAAACGCTAACTGTGGAGAGGAGGCAAACAAGTAGAGAGTAAATCACTCTGTGGCCTAATTAAATTAAGTGTGTGTGCAGATTCTCCATAAAAGGCAAAATAACAATGAAGAAAAAAACAAGTGAAGAAATTAACACTGTAGCAATCTCGCCTCACATGATGATGAAATGTTCTCTCTCCTCAGGGCCGAAGCTCAGCTGCCCAGCTGAAAGAAAAACCATGCAAGGATGTTTATAGCCGAGAGGACCCTCTGTTATTCTCTCCTGCTGAAGTACTGTGACCCCACAGCAACATGGATGTCAGGCTAGTTTACACACATGATTCAGCCAAGATAACTGTGTGACCTGCAGTTAAGAGCACACACTGCATACTGCACTCACTGACTGCTTGTACTACTGTGTTTGTAAGCAGCTTACAATGATGTGGTGAAAGGAGAGAGACAGTGTAGAAGATGTTGATGTTTCTTGGAGAACTTATGGTGAGAATTAAAGGAAAAAAGAAAGAAAAGTAATATAGAGATAAGGATTGGAGACAAGGCTCTGCAGTCTGTGTGTGTGTGGGTG